TCGCCTACTTCGCAGCATGCATTTAAATAATGTAAATAAACAATTTGAGGAAATTCTTCTGGCTGGCATATAGTAGGTTTGCTTAGAGCAGAGCAGAATGACTTGGCATGGCAGCTTTCAGCGTAGTGGGTGAGGGTGCAGGTCCTCGAGTCAGGCTGCCAGGGTTCAGATCTCGGCTCCAACTGCTTTCTGGCTCTGTGATCTTAGACAAATTACGTAACCTTTGGTCCCTATATTTCTTTATTTTAAAAATGGAGATAACACTAATATTTACCTTATTCAGTTTTTGTAAGGATTTAGTGAGTTAGTCCTTGTAAATCTTGAGTTAGTGCTTGTAAAGCAAGCATGCTGCTGGAACAGTGCAGCATGCTGTGAGAGCTCACATCAGCAATTGTTACTAATATTACATGCTGATGGCCTCACACCACACCTGTGGTATGCGCATCCATCATTTTACTCATTTTTTTGTTTGGTTCATTTGATGCAGGAGGACATTATGAATTGTTTTTTGATGTTCATATTTATTTGAATTTCCTTCATAGCTTAACATTGATGCCAAAAAAGAAAATTAAAACCCAGCTCCCTGCAGGTTAATTTAAGTGATTGTTTTGGCACCTAGTTGTGCTTGAAGTTAGAATCTGATGCTTTTATATCATACTTGGAGTCAGTCCACACACCCTATTAGATTTGTGATTTATTCTCATCTAACTTGTGATGCAAGAGAGTTCACTTAAATCAAGAGACAGAATTTTCTAGATTTGCAGAGGTCTTGGGATGTTGTAAATAGTGAGGTCTAAAGACTGGTCTGTTTAAAATGATCTTTTGTCAGTGATTACTGATGTATCCAGGGTCAAGATTAATTTCTATTTCTGAAATTTTCATTTATGTATTTATAGTCTAATATCCAATGCAAGGAGAAAAATTGTAGAAGAGATTATGGAATTCTACACTCTGAAAAAGTCTTTAGGGACCATCTGATTGAACTCCTTCATTGCATAGCTGGGTAAAATGAAGCCAAGAGAGTTAAGTGACTTGGCCAAAGTCCTAGAGCTGGATAGCTAACAGGAGGGCGAGGGCTGAACTCAGGTCTCCTGTCTCTTGTCCCAGCCTGTCTGCACATGTTTATATTACAGTGTGTACCCAAACAGAAGTGGACGTGAAATCAAGAATGTAATGTGAATTGGTTTGTGTGTGTGTGTGTGTGTGTGTGTGTGTGTGTGTGTGTGGGAAAGATTAGCCCTGAGCTAACATCTGATGCCTATCCTCCTCTTTTTTTGCTGAGGAAGATTAGCCCTGGGCTAACATCTGTGCCCATCTTCCTCTACTTTACATGGGACGCTGCCACAGCATGGCTTGACAAGCGGTGCATCAGTGCGCGCCGGCAATCCAAACCCGTGAACCCTGGGCTGCCGAAGCAGAGCTTGCGCACTTAACTGCTACGCCAGCGGGTGGGCCCCATGTGAATTGGTTTTCCTTTTTGCTTTTCTCTTAACAGGATCCAGCCTCTTTTTGGTAGCTCTGTCAAGCTTAGCTCCAAGAGCCTATCCACAGTGACAAAATGGCCTGTGAAGCATTTTTAAAATAAATTCTATAGGGAGATAAAATTTAATTTAAAATTTAGTAAGTTTTTAATAAAATTTAAATTTTTATTTTAAATGTTTTTATTGGCCGGCCCCGTGGCTTAGCGGTTAAGTGCACGCGCTCTGATGCTGGCGGCCTGGGTTCGGATCCCGGGAGCGCCCCGAGGCACCACTTCTCCGTCCAACGCGAGGCCGAGTCCCACATACAGCAACTAGAAGGATGTGAACCTATGACGTACAACTATCTACTGGGGCTTTGGGGGGAAAAAACTGAATAAATAAAATCTTTAAAAAAATAAATAAATAAATAAATAAATAAATAAATAAATGTTTTTATTAATATTTCTTTTTCATAAGTGGCAAATGACCAGTGATCTAGTATTTCTGTATATAAGGAAGAAATAAGCCTAAAAGGACTTTTCTTTGGGTCTCTCTCTTTTTTAGTAGGAAATATTTCAAACCAAATTTTCATTCTTACTGAAAGGTAAGAAATAATTCCTCTTGGTAGAGGAAGATGACAATTCATTAGTTTCCATTTTTATATGTTGCTTAGGTTAATTAGGAACCTTTTAAAATTGTGTGTACTGAAGCTTTAACGTATGTGTAAGTTGGTTGAGCAGTTTTAATTAAAACTTATCTCTATTTTGAGAGTAATTACTTTCAACACTCTGAAATTAATGAGGCCTAATCATAGTACCTCACATATTGTGGATAATCAATAAATATTAGTTTGGAAATTAGGAAATACTCTGGTATTTTAGAATCTCACGTGTATTATAATGTCTTTGATTCTTTTCCAAATATGGGGATACTCAACTATATCAAATTTACTAGTTCAACTTAGAAGTATTTTTCTTTCCTACATAATTTTTAAAACTTTTTATTTGAAAATATTTTCAAATTTACAAAAAGTAACAGTAAATACTCTATGTGGGTATATACATGTATGTGTACACATATGCACATAATTTTTTTCTGAACCATTTGAGCTTAAATTACATACGATGTGCCCCTGTTCCTAAATACTTTAGTGTGTTTCCTAAGAGTAAAATATTCTCTTATATAAACACATTACAGTTATTAAATTCATAAATGTGCATTGATAGAGTATTTTTGTCTACCTCTATCATCTATGTTCCAATTTTGTCAGGTGCCCTAATAAGACCTTTTATACCTTTTTGCCCTCCAATACAGGGTTCAGGATCAGGTATTGCATTTAGTTGTTGTCTTTTTGCCTCCTTTTGAATCCAGAGTATTTCCACAGCCTTTATTTGTCTTTTATGACATTGACATGTTTGGAAAATACAATGTTCCTTGCGTTCGTCTACTATTTCCTTATGATTAGGTTGAGGTTATGCATTCTCAGCAGAGCACTGCATAGATGATATTGTCTAGAGGCACTTGATGGCCATCTGAGCCCATTGGTGATATTAATTTTGATCACCTAGTCAAAGTGTTGTCCAGTTTCTCCACTGTATAGATATTGTTTTTTTCCTCCCTTGTAGCTAATAAGCATTCTGTAGGAAGACATTTTAAGACAAAATTTCCCCCTAGATTTAACATCCTTTAATGATTTTTGTGACCCGGTCTTTACCGTGATGGTTGCAAGAAGAGAATTTTCCTGTTCTGGCACTCCCTCCACACTTACTGGTTAAGTCTTTGGCTTTCTCCTGTGAGCAAGAGCCCTCCTTCCTCTCCTCTGTTTATTTATTATGTATTATCAGTCTCGACTCAGGAATTCATATTTTTTCAATGGTTTGTAATTTATTACTGTACTTAATATTTTGGTGCTTAGCTTGTCCAGGTTCGGCTAATGGGAACTCTTTTAAACTGGTTCCTATATCCTTGTTACGAGCTCCCATCAATTTTCCCCCATGATTTTTTTGAGCACTTCTACCTATCCTGTCTCAACCGTGGAATCAGGCATTTGCTTGAGGAATCCAGTTCCTTTTAGGGGGAGTGGTATTAGAGCAAGATCTGGGCTTTAGGTATGCTCATTGCTAGTGGGGTATCTACTTTTTGGCCCTTTCAACAGACAAAGCTAGGAAATGCACACACACACACACACACACTCACACCTACAAATGTACGTATTTTAGAAGTCATGAGTGCACACCAGTGCCTTCCATTTCAATCCATCCGCACAGAGTTATTTTTTATCTTCCCCCATTCTGCATTTGTGTGTCCCCTCTTCCATGGTGAGAACCCCAGCTCCCAACAGTATCAACACATTTACTCATTTGCTCAGTCCTGTAATGTATTTAAAAATAGTTTCAAAATTGCTTTGCCTGTACTACTGTGCTAAGAAAACCTAGTAAAAAGAGTTGGAGATTTGTTTGCAATTCTTTCCTCCTTGCCCAAGACTGAGGGTGTGTAGTCAAATACTGTGTTCATAAGTTACTTGGATTAGTTCTTTCTTTCTTTCCTTTTTCCTTTCCCTTCAGTGTAGTTGCATTACACTTTTGAAATAAAATTAGGTTGATTTGTTTTAGTTTGCTTTCAGTTATAGGTTCCTCCCCATTTCCATTCTTATTGTTTTAATTTTGTTTTTTGAATACATAGAATAGTAACATGCTCTCAAAAATTAAAAATATACAAAAGTTATCCATAAATTAATTCCCACCCCCCTTTTTATGAAGGAAAAGATATATAACTAGCAAAAGGGCATTTATTGTGCCTCTATTCAGCTTTGTTGTTGTTATTTAAAATAAATTTTGTCTATTGAGATTAAGATTATAAAGAACTTAATTTTTGGAAAGATACTTCAGGCTTGGTGATTTGTAACTTTGATTTCTAGGGACAGGGGTTCTCAATGATTTTCCTATTTCAGCACACTAGAGTTAATGTCTAGTGTCTTCAGTAACATTCCCTCCATGCTGCAGTGATTGGGTGGAGGTGGGAGTGCAGGAGGGACAAGGGCATGCGTACTAGCCTATTTTGAGAATGCTTGCTGTAGGGTTAATGAGAGCATTAGAGCCTCCCAAGTACATTGGTCAGGGAAAATCATAGAGACTCCTCTGATACAAAAGACCAATGACTATGTAATAAGACAAAATAATTAAATCAAGCAAGCAGACACAAAAATTTTTAGCTCAAGATTAATATAAGTGAAAAAAATATCACTTCAGTGCCTTGACTGTGCTGCCTCAAATGTACCTTCCTTTATTTGTAATCCAGAAAAGGCACCTGTGTGAGAATTCTGTGGCTTCATGATATTCTTGGCAGCATGTCTGAAAAGTCACACAACTAGATGATTTATACCCATCCTGTATTTGCCATTTCTAATAACGTGTATATTGGGTTTATAAATCTTTAATCCAGGATAAAGCTATGGCAGCTATAATTTAGCTGGCTGGAAGAACTAAAGGTGTCTTGATGGGAAGTGTCATAATATAGCTGTGTTTTTTCTCTTTGCTGCAGCCTTAATACAGATACTGGCAGCTGCTGTAACTGAGCGAGATGTGGTTTATTTCACCTTTGGGGACTCAGAATTGATGAGAGACATTTACAGCATGCACACTTTCCTTACTGAAAGGAAACTGACTGTTGGTAAGTAGGAGATAGTCTTGACACTTGGTAACTAGATGGATTGTACACCATCCAGGAGGACAACTTGCTAAATCCGAATGGATCACAGTAGATAAAATATGAAAGCGTGACTTTGAGAGAGGGGGACAGATCCCTAGAGGGGCAACATTTGCAGAATCTTTTTTTCTGGCGGAGTTTCATCTGAAGTCTTGAATGAGTATGTCAGCTTTTTAAAGTAAAGCCAAGAAGCTGGAGTTAGTGTCCATTTTTACTTCTGTGCATATGGAAAACTAAAAGAGGGAAGGTGTAGGAGGGTAAGTTCAAACCTAAGAGGCCTCACTCTGAGTCATGTTTATCAGCATGCTCGTCTACTGTGTTTAGCTGGACATGAAAGGCATTGCTCCCATGTGGTCTGAATGTAGAATTAGAGTTGCCACAAACTCCCAAAACGATGCATGGATAATGTACCATGGATAGCCTGTTGTAATCATGAGCTAATAAGTAGTTTCTTTAAGGTGTTTTTTAAAATTCTAACTTTATGTCAGGCAAGGCTTCCAGGCATATGAAATTCATGCTCTATTTTCGAAAGCCAAATTTGAGCATACGTTATTTAGATTAAGATAAAACTGGAGTCTTTAGTAGTTTTGTCCATCTACATATCTTAACGTGTAAATCGATCTGGCCTTTTACTCTCCAGGAGAAGTGTATAAGCTGTTGCTACGATATTACAATGAAGAATGCAGAAACTGTTCCACTCCTGGACCAGACATCAAGCTATATCCATTCATATACCATGCTGTTGAGTCCTGTGCAGAGACCAGCAACCAGCCAGGACAAAGGACCGGGGCCTGAAGAGCTGAGTGAATAGCACCTCCTTCCAGCTCTCACCAGAAACATCCTGTCTGAATTGTCAGGTGTAATATATGAACTGACTTCATATAAATGTGTATATAATCCACATTTGTAGGCAAGGATGCAGTCCCTTCCACATACACAGAATTGTCAGTTTGTACATCTAAGCCCCTCCATCCTGACTTACACAGACTTAGATATATTTAGTTTCCATTTTTTTCTATTTCAGTCTTCATTCTTTGATTTTCCTTTCTTATGCCCATCAGATTTCTTGTGAAATCCTGTGAAAGGTTGTGCTTAGCCCGTCAGGTCTCTTTTTTGATGCCTATATGAATACAAATTGCCTCTGCGGCTAGCAGACGCCAGTGATGCCAGGGAAGAAGTTGAAATGCAAGAATCTCTTTTAACTGGGTTTGCTAAAGATCTCCCTGTGAGCCTTTAACCCCCAACTCTCGTTATAATTGCATTGTTTAAGTTTTTGAATTTTGAAAATTAAGAGTTGGATGTTTTTCGTACGTTATGTAATGCAGATCTCCTAGGTTAAAACAATTTTGTATTTAAGACAGAATAATTTCCAGAAATAGTTCTTTTGAGACATCATCTTTATCTGTAATGGTTTGACTATCCTTTTTCTCCTGATCAATTTTTATTGATACTGTTTTTGGAACTGACCAAGATGGAAGGAAAGTAGAATAAAAGAGAGTTTTCCCAAATGGTGTTAAAAAAAAAAAAAAAACAGATTGAAGAGAGTTGAAGGATTTTTTGTTCCTTGGGATTTTTTTCCTTTTTAAATTAGAATTATTATTTTATTCCTTGGTGCTTAAGGCATATTCATATAACCAAAGTTTAGAAACTGGGAACTTCATGCTGATTTGTACATATTGAAGTTTCTCTGGTATTCAAAGGATATGTAGTTAATAAATTTTCATTAACAAATCATTTGTCAGAAACTCCCATGTCATCTATATTTTATATATATAAATAGAAGTACTTTAAGTGTGTCTGTGTACAAGCACATGAAATCTAAATAAAACTGGAGTTGTGGAAAATGATTAGGTTTAGGCTTTATCAGGGGCTCTGTTTAAATCCTTTATTTACAATTGCATCCATTTAAAATGGGCAGCAAACATAAATAATAATGTCTTTTGGAGGTTAAAGTGAAAGCAATTACCAATTCTGTGTTAATTGAGAGTAGAGATTAATCACAAAAGCACTTATTCATCTTTCTAAAATAATCCTAAACCATACTGTTGAAGTTCTAGTTTACAGTCAACTGTCAGGAAAAGCTATTGGAAGTCAAATCCTATTAATAAAGAGTTTCAGTAGATCGTCCAAACTTCTGGTATCAGTATTGGCAGGGAAAAATTGGGGCCTTAGCCAATGTCTGTAACTCTTTTTGTTTGTATAGAGATTGAGAGGTTAATGGAATTTCACACCTGAAGGCAGCCCCTTATCTATGACTATATTCTTTACCGTAGTAACCAAGATTTTTAATTATCTCCCTAAGTCCAAGGTGTCCGGCTTTATTTCTGCTGGTACCAAGGTCTTCTCTTTCCTTACCAACCCATTCTATGCTTTGGTAAGCATTCGTGGTTATATTTTTATTTCTATTTTCTGTCTCCATATTCTTTCCCTCTTATTCAGCCCCAAGACTAGGTGAACAGTTGCATGAGCAGTATAGGATGGTTCATGTGGTAGAGAAATCATTAAATCCAGGTAAGAAGACCACCCAGCCTAATGTTCCAGAACATAGAATCTAAGACTCAGCTCTTAGTGTTGAACAAGCTTAGTGACTGGGCCATCTACCTGACTTCCTCTCTTGTTGAGGAGTTTCCAAGAATAAAACTTGCCTAGTTCTTTGTCCCAGTACATTCTGGTTTTGGGACAGTTTAATCAGATGGAATGTGAAAAGAACGAAATGTCCATTTTTTGAGGAGCGAGGAAGATGGAGAGAACACGATTACTTTGTTCTTAAAGGCCCTCTGTAAAAAGAGAAAAAAAAAATCAGACATCGAATTAACTTTTGTATCTATTCTAAGACATTTAACAGCACCTTTTTATTCTCTTTCTTGTGGAGTTTATTGTTTATTTCATGTCACTTACCCCTCCCTTCTTTAATCTATTGAGGCATGAAAGAATATTTTTAGTTTAGAATTCTTAGGTTTTTAATATAGCTCACTTGCTTTTCGCTTTCTATCTGGCTTACTCACATGTACAATAACAGTTTAAGGAAGCACTGTGGAGTAATGGAAAGGGCATGAGATTTTAAATCAGACAAGCTGAGTTCAAATGCTAGCCTCATTCTTAGCTAACATTTTAACCTTCTCTAAATAAACTGAATTTCTGAGCCTTACTTAACTCATCTAGAAAATGGGCTATTAGCACCTATCAGGAAATACTATATGTAAAGCAATGATCATAGGGTCTGGCACATAATTGGTGCTCAATAAATGTCAATTATTATAGTTGGTCAGGAAACATTTATGGAGCACCTACTGTATATTAGGTACTGTGCTAGTTGCTTTACATATTTTAGCCCGTTTTTCCAATGAGCTAACCCAGAGGTTGGAGAATACCATCTCAACCTCCAGGAGTTCATTATGAAAGGATCTGATAGAGCAAAGGCTCTGACAGTCTTGTTCTCTACCAAGTTCCCAGCAGAGCTTATTCTTCATGAGGCAGTCAGTAGGGTACATTAAATTATCTCTGAGAGAATTATCTCTTTTTCTTGCTGGTTGAAGTGACATTAAGGGCAGACAGACCCAAATTGGTATTTAAAAGAGAGATTGAAAAAGAGATCTAACCAAGCTCCATGATTGCTATGCCAGGTACTTAACCAATATATATTGCTTTGGAAACCAAATATGGATTAAGCTGTCTCACTCCAAGAATATGAGGGAGCAAAGAATTCATTGGGTTGCATTCTTAAAAACTTCAGCAAGAGGAGAAGCAATTGCATAGATTCTTGTCTATTTTCTACCGTCTTCTCCCATTTGTGTGGCTGCATGTTCATGGTTTTTTTCTGATGTAAGGAAGACCCAAATCCTAGTATGCCCACTTTAAAGATAATTAAAGATTTAGAGGACCTATATTTTCTTCTCTCAGCCCTGTGGATCCACCCTAATCCTTTGTCTGGAAGGAAGGGAAAGACCCACCATTGCTGGAACTTCAGCTCAGAATGTTTAATCCTGTCCTTCTTTGGGGGCTGGGAGGGGGTCCCAGTGTGATACTTAATAGACCAAACTGTTAAAATCCACTAACCCACGGCTGTTCTCTTTGCCAGTAGCATAGTGCCCTTAGTCCTCCCTCACCAGATCCCACATGGATCTACTGAGCCTTCAGAGTGGAAAGTTTCCGAGACAAGACAACCAAAACTCCATATGTCCATCTGATAACTGATTTTATTTTTCTTCTTTATTTTAAATGTAGGGTTAACATGTCCTGATGATTTTGAACTTGGGGATAAGGAGAGGTGTGTGTTAATGTTTACATGATTTTTGCAGGAAGAGAATTAAAAAATTCTGATCCCCTTGTCACCACTTCTTTTTTCTCAAATAATCATGTCTCTTTTGAGATTTCATGTGCATGCTGTCATTTAAAAAATTTAGAGTATGTCTTAGGCATTTGGTGAAAGTTTTTGCATGTGGATTTGTTATTTCACATTAGGTGTTAGACATGTAGAGATGGTCATTGGCATGAGGAACATTCCAACGGTAAAGAGAATTCTGACAGCATTAGTTCTTCTTCCTTGCCAGGTTCCTGAGGTCATGTTTCCTAGTGTTCATTCCCTTTTCCTAATTTCCGTCTTCCCTCAAGAGAACTCGAATCAGGGACAGGGAAGATGTCTTGAAGGTTCTGAGGACCACTCTCTTTCCATCCATTCTCATATTCATAGACACTTTCGAGTGCCTTCCCTAAGCAATCACTGAACTCTCTGCTCAGGGATGCAAAGATGAACGACTTCTCCTCTGCACTCAGATCTAAACCAAGGCAGAGAGAGGGTAAGTGATCTAAAACCCCACAAGTAGCATTTTCTTTTCCCTATACTATTCCGATTCAACCTAGGAAAACCAAATGAATTTTTACACTATCAATTTAAAACTTGAATAGACCCCCGCACCATGTCAGTTCACCATAGTGTTGAACTCCCTTACACAACTTCCTCTGTTGGAGAGTTGTGTAAACAAATGGCCTAACTTAAAATATAACATTAAGATGGGCTATCTAAAAGTCTTTTCTTGACTTAATACGGGAGGTGACATTCAGCTCCTGTCATCTCAAGTGCCTACCATCTCAATTCCACTGGTTCTTGGATTCTGAGAAAGTGGCACTGGAGGCTATAAGGTAGATTTACTAATGGAATTGTTACTTTTACCTGTAGTGAGTCCATACAGGGTAGATAAAAGGTCAAGTTTTTTTTTTTATTTTAGCTGGGATTATATGGCCTCAGTCTGAACGCTACATGTTTCATTGATGAAAAATGAAGAAAATTAGCTTAACAAATGAATTTTACTTGATATCAAAGTATTTCAAAATATGAGGATCTTGGGGATAAAATAATAAAAGGAATTTTTAAATAAAAGATGGTGAAAAGGTAGAGACCATCGTGTCAGAACGTTGCATTTTCTATTAAGGTTTATAACAGTAACTTATAAACTTGGACATAAAATTTCAATATTTGGGAAGAAATATATTCACTGTAGAATTGGTAATAGCCTCAAAAATATACCCTAATCTGCTCTTGAACATGTGTGAAGCATCTTCACCATAATCTTGACCTCACACTGTTTCAGAGTATTCATTTATTCCAGATACCATATTTCATTAATTCCAAAATGAACATTCTTTTCACATTGTAGCATCTGAAATCTAAGTACTTCTAAAAATTGATGGTATTTCATAATCTAATTTGCAGTAATTTTTAAAAATGGTACATAAAATAAAAGTATTTTATAACCTATGTCATCTTATATTTGAGGAAAGTTGGTAATTTCAATTCCAACTATATGCCAGTCCCTTTTAGGCTTTGGAGCTGTAATTGTGACTGAGATAGACTGGCTCCTTGTTATCAAGTGTATACTATAACAGAGAGCACAGACAAGAGCCTGTAATATGACTTAGAGTGGGTAGTAAGGGAATGGTTTTCTTTTCTTTTTTTTTTTTTTTTGCTGAGGAAGATTTGCTCTGAGCTAACATCCGTGCCAATCTTCCTCTCTTTTATACGTGGGTTGCCCCCACAGCATGGCCATGATGAATGGCGTAGGTCCGTGCCTGGGAACCAAACCCAGGCCGCCAAAGCAGAGTGCACCAAACTTAACCACTAGACCACAGGGCTGGCCCCATGGTTTTCTTTTTGAGGAAAATTTTAGACATATACAAAAATTAAATAGGGTAATGAACCTCTCTATATGCATTACTGTCTTCGACAATTATCAATTTGTAGCTAATCTCACTTGCTCTGTATTCCTACCCATTACCCACCCCAAATTATTGTGAAGTTCATCCCAGACATTATATTTCATCTGTAAGTCAATGTCTCTAAAAGACGGTACCACAATATCATCACACACACACACACACACACACACACACACATTAAAATAATAGAGAGAGGACTTGTGATTCCAAAGATGGAGTAGACAGACTTTTCTCTATTCTTCCTGCTCAGTACAGCTAAAACGCCTGAAGGTGATATGTAAAACAAACAGAAGGCTCTGAAAGGTGGAAGAGAAGAAGGCAGACTGGCTAGGGGGATCTGGCGAACCACGGAACAATACAATGTGAGTTCCCTGGGTTTTCTTATTGACTCAGACATCCCATACTGATTACCAGAGATGGCAGCAACCCAGAAATTCTGAGCATAGATAAAGGCCCAAGAAAAGCCTGCTCTATCTAGCTACAGGACCAGGAAAGGGGCAGCCTAACAAGACAGAAAACTT